CAGTTACGTATTGCTAGCTATTTGTCGAGGGCGCGCTAGCGAACGAGAGAGCGTCTTCAGATAGTAAAGTCTGAAACTTTAATTTTATGTTCTGCTACTTTTTGAATATTATCGATAGTACAAGTTTTCTTGTACGTTAATATACGTGAAGTGCTTCACGTAACCAAATGGTGTAATAGATCTATGAGTGAAATTATGTTCATACAATACTATTAAGTGCACCTTCTAATTGCCGTACGTTAGATCGCAATGTTTAGCTATAAAAAGTTACTGTCAGGTAATTTAATATTATTTACCTGCTTTTTATTACTATCATATCCTACTAGCCCATACAGCAGCAGAGCAATTATAGTGTACTCAAATTCAGTAAATTATTATTATAAACGATTTGGTTTTCCGCGTAATGATAATTGTTTCTAAATGAAAAAAACATGAACATTTTAATAAAAATGATAAGAACGATGTATACGTAATTCTACTTATTTTATAATCAAAAATCGAAATAATTTCCTGAATCGAAAAATTGATAATAGATTTTAAAATAACAGTTGATTTTTACTCCGTTAGATCGCATTGTTGATTGATCTTTTTTTTTTCCTATGAGAAAAGATGGTAACGAATGTTTTCTAATTTATATAACCTCTTTGAGATGAATATTTTTTATTTTATATTAGAAAACATATGGGTAATAGTGTACTCTGGGTCTTCGTATCACGTTAGCGGTCTTTTCGCCGCGCCAATTTGTTATCATGATGATAAGAATTAATATTCCGATTGTGTGTACAACGATATTATGTAGTATAATTTATTATACTTACACGTTAGAATGTAAATTTTGTCAATTGTTTACATTTTCTTGCGTTATTTCAACACTTATTTGTAAAAAAAAAAAACTTTTTATATAAACAGTATAAAATGCTTCGTGAGGAAGACATATTAGCTTTATTAGGTGACGGAAATGTATCAGATATTGGGGAATTAGATAGTGGTGATGAATCTGAAGACTTTTTTCCTGAAGCAGAACTCACTGAACTTTTAAATGAATTTGAAAATAACGATGGTAATTTTGAAAATGAAAAAGAATATAATATTGCTGGTAAGACTTTTGAAACGACTAAAAAATGTGATGTTCGTTGGGCACGAAAACCTTTTGCCCAACCACGTCTGCATTTGGAAAACTTAGATCAACCTATATATCCTATTTTACTAAGATCTCCATTAGAATACTTTAATGAATATTTTGATAATGACATTTTTGAAAAAATGGCTTTTTTCACAAATTTGTACGCAGTTTCTAAACAAATTTCGAGATTCAAACCAACAAATATAAAAGAAATGAAAATATTTATTGGTATTCATATTATTATGGGCTCTTTAAAATATCCTCGAGTACGTTTATATTGGAAAGACAATTTTCAAATTAATATTATTGCACGTAATATGACACGTTTTTTCGCTTTACGAACTAATTTTCATATAATTGACAACAACAGTATAAGTAAAGAAAATAAAGATAAATTCATCAAAGTGAGACCATTATTTGATGCAGTGTTAAAAAAATGTAATAGCCTACCTTTAGAACAGGACCTTTGTGTTGATGAACAGATGGTTCCTTTCAAAGGCCAACTCTCGATCAAACAATATATGAAAGGAAAGCCTATTAAATGGGGGGTCAACATTTTTTTATTGTGCGGAGGTAAGAGTGGAATGGCTTATAATTTTATGCTATTTCAGGAATATTCAGAATTAGACAGTAACTTGGTAAAATCGGTAGGCTCTGGTGGTAGTGTTGTGTTACATTTAACACAAAATGTTCCTCCGAACCGCCATTTTTTGTATTTTGATAATTATTTTTCGTCATTTGGATTATTTGAGAGATTGCAACAGTTGAACATTTACGCGGTTGGTACAATTAGATCAAATTGGTTTGCACAACCACCATTTTTAAGTGACAAACAAATGCGGAAAATGGGTAGAGGCACTGCATTTGAAGTTACCACAGATATGAATCATTGTAATATAGGACTTGTAAAATGGTTTGATAATAAAGCAGTTACTCTTGGTTTTAATTACGTAACATCTGGGGATGTTGACAAAGTTGAGCGTTGGGACAAAAAGAAAAAGGCATATGTAGAAATCGAAAGACCAGAAATTGTGAGAAAATATAATGAATCAATGGGCGGTGTTGACAAAATGGATCAGTTGATCAGTTACTATCGTATTTTAATTAGATCGCGAAAATGGACATTACGAATGGCTATGCATGCATTCGATATTGCCATTACAAACAGTTGGATTCAATATACCAAAGAGGCTGAGCAGTTAAATATCCCTAAAAAAAATGTATTAGATTTATTACATTTTAGAATAAATTTAGCGAAAGATTTAATAACTTTCGAAAAGCCAATAACACTAAAACGTAAAGGACGTCCGTTGTCAACCCCATCAAACGAATCAGTAAATGAACCATCTCAAACGTATAAAATACCAAAAGTAGACTCTCAAAGACCCACAGATGCAGTTAGAACAGATACTATTGACCATCTACCAGAATTCGATGATAGGAAATATGCCACAAAATGTAAAAACAAAAAGTGCGAAGGACGAAGAACCCACGTATATTGTTTAAAGTGCAATGTCCATCTTTGTCTGGACAAAAAAAAGTAATTGTTTTAAAGATTTTCATGTTAACAAATAAGATATGTTATTACTTGTTATACTATACCTAAATATTATTATATATTTGATGAAGGATATTGTTATTATTATTATAATTATTATACAAAAGAGACTGTAATTTTGTGATTTGGTAAACTATTTTTATTGTTATATTTGTTAAAGGATATTATTATTATTTTACAAAAAAGATTGTAATTTTATGATTTGTTATACAATTTTTATTGTTAAAAAGCACAGATAAAGAGTGTATTAATTTTATATTTTTCAAAGGTTTTAAATCACATTCATTATTAATAAAATGGCATGTGACAGCAATATAATTTTCATTTTGAATAGAAGTCCAACTATCGGTGGTAATGCTTACATATTTTGCATAGTCTTTTATGTCTTGTTTCACTTTATCATGTATTTCATTATACATTATAGGTAATAATGATTTCGACAACGTTTTTCTCGATGGAAGAGTATAGCCGGGATTTAACAAATTTAAAAGTTGTACAAATTCTCTATCTTCAACAATACTGAAGGGATAGTACTCTTTCACAATCATTTTCAGAACTTGTTGATCTATAACTTTACGGCGTGATGCACCAAGAGGCTTAGATAAATATTGAGTAATGGGATTATTCACAAATCTAAAACTTTGAGGACGAATTGCATGTTCATTAGATGGAATTTGTAAGGACGTTTCAGTTTGGTAATGACATATTATTGTATTGCATTAAACAACAAAAACAATTTAGTAAATTAAAATTAATTAATAAAATAAGGTCTTCATACATTTTTATAAATCAATAGTTCATATATTTAGTGATAGATGATCTAATACTCTGAAGTAACTCTTAAACGAATTGTCTTACGAGAGTTGTTTAATTTAATGAACTGATAACTAGGAGTTAATGGGAGTCAATGGAAATTGGGAGTTGATTCACCGAGTTGACTCCCCGAGTCAACTCATTTGAGTGAACTGAGTCAAGTGAACTGACTCATGTAAATGAGTTGAAAATCCCATCTCTATTATAAAGTAATATAATTGTTAATATTAATCGTTATCGTTTTATCGTACCTTAAATGTTATGCCGTTAGAATGGCAATTGGGCGTAATGTCGTAATTCTATCAACTAATATTTACGTTTTACATCACTGAAAAACAGTTGTTATTCGTCTCATTTTCCGTTCGTCGGACGTTAGTCTACAGTCGTTACTGCGTAGTTTGAATTTCATTTTGTTTAACGTAAGTATTTTATAGATTCAAATTTACTACATACATAAAAATAATTTTAATATTGTGTTTATGTAATATGAAATAATTTAGGTATTTATATATAATGTCACGAAAACAACTCCATGATTTTGATATTTTGGAATTGCTTGGTAACGGCCGAGACTCAGATTTATCATCTCTATCTGGTGATGATTATGAAGAAGAAGAAAATAGTTTTCCTACATCTGAATTAGACCAACTTTTAATTGATTTTACTAATTTCAATGATGGTGATGATGGTAATGAATTGTTTCCCGATTTGTTTGATGTTGATATTCCTACTGATAATGGTATGTTCAATTATAAATATTTTATATTTTTATCATTTTTATTTTTAAACTACTCATATTTAGATGAAATAAGTGAAGTCAATTCCATATTCCAGTCATCTCAAAATACTGATTTTTCCAGTCCATTTCAAACACCTACTATATCACCTATGGTGAATTGACACCCGCTGTCCGCGCCTTTGACGATTATTATTATTATTGTTGTTTTTATTTTAATTGTCCATGCGCTTTGTGTAATATAATATGATAATTAAGTTTTCATTTTGTACAATGAAAGTGATAAATATACATATACTATGTCTATTGTATGTTTGTGTAACGTTCGTGTTTGTAATAACTGAAAATTATTTAAATTTTTCCTCTTTAACAACCTTAGTCGTATAATATTTTGGCACGCGTGCAACTCGTATAAGAACTTCATAACAAATCATGATAAACCTTTGACGAAATGATTTTTTTTTTAATTTGTACAATTATGTCGAAGTTCAAGATCGATAACGAGATTACAGTTCAAAAAAAAAAAAATATCGTATGATAGATTTTTAATTGAACTATTATGTCGTTGTGGATCTAATGAAATAGGTATAAATATTTTTGAGTAAAAAAAACGAAAACTACCTATTTTATTTTATTGCACGTATACGATATTATGTAAAAATTTATATAATATAAAGTACTATCTAAAATGTATGCTGTTTTTTCGGTTAGTGTGAAAAACTTGGTGTTTTTAAGTGCCAATCGCTTATTTTAACAGTGTTGAAAATAAATAATTTAATTCATGTACAGTGGAACCTCGATAACTCGAACTTCTATAAGTCGAATTTTCGATAACTCAAAAGAATGTCTTGGCCCCTACTTTATACTGTCTTTATAACATATCACATGTGTAACCTCTGTAACTCAAATTTTCGATGACTCGAATTTTTTTTTCGCCCCTAACTGATTTGAGTTATCGAGGTTCCACTGTATTATAATAATTTTTCCTATTTAAACGTATATGTAATTAATATGTATACCTAATTAAATTTAAATAAAGATATATAATTTTTAAATTAATAAAAAAATAAAAAAACATTTTATTTGAAGTGCTCCCTGGAAAGATAAATAATTTTGTTTACGTAGTCATTGTATAATGATGAAAGTAAGACAAAAAACCTTGTGTGCAACGTAAGGTAAAATAGTTCCTAATTGACAGTAAGCTATTTGATATGTTCATAGCAGAAAACATTTCTCAGTGACGTTTGATTCGCTTATGTTGATCATCTGCGTGAATATTGTTATTAACTAATTATGACTTATATTTGTAAGTTTTGTATTTTAAAAACTTATTTTTTTAATAGTTTTAACGTTCTTAGAAATATTTCTTTTTTGTAGTATTATGTCACTAATCATTAAACACGATTAGTTACATAAAATCACCAAAATTTTTCTCTTGATAAAAAAGCGGATCTGATTGAAATTTTTTTTTAATAGGTATTGAAAGTTAACAAAAAAAAAAAAATAAATATTGTTTAGATGAATAATAAAATAATCAGGTTGAGTATTGACTGAAAAAATGTATTTGAAAATTCTAATACATATTGGAATGGAATGTTTAGACACACATATATATATATATATTTTTTTTTTTATTGAACTTAAGCCCGGGGACTAGGGCTTTTAACTATTGTAGGGATTATGAACTGTGGTAGGAGTAAAATTGGTACGGTAGATTGTTGTTTTTTTTTTTTTTACGATTGTTACGGTTGATAGCAAACACGTATATGACGTATATGCAGTGGCGTAATTGTGGAGGGGCAAGGGGGGCACTTAGAAATACAAGACAGATTTAAAGAAAATGATCTTAATATACTACAAG